AGAGACAATTTTGTTAGTTTTTTTTTTTTTTTTTTTTTTTTTTTTTTTTAAGAAACATGCCATTTATGTTCATTCATTTAAACATGAAATATTTTTGGGGTTTTATTTCACTTAACATAATATACAACGACCATTTCTGGTTATTTTTTTGACTAAGGGACAATCTGTCACTTTATTTAAAGATGGACTATTGCTGCAGTTTTCAAAATAAGAAACAATTTCTGTTAGCCTTCACAATTAATAGCAACGTAACGAGATGTAAGTATATTATAACATCCTACTTTCTTGCATTATACTTTATATCATCCTACTTTCTTGCAAACTACACTCCTTTTTTTGTCAAAAATTTTACTTTTTCAGTTTCTGTCGAGATGTAAGATTTTTTTTTGTGTTATAATTGACAGTTTACCTACTGTTATTGTTTTTATAGCATCACACTAACATGAAAAATACTTTATAACATAATACTTTCCAGCAAACTTGAAAAACAATTTTGAAAATTGAAATGACAATTTTACCCATACAGTATACATCAGTGTTATAATTTGAAAAAAATCTTATTTAAAAAAAAAAAACGAGTTTCTTATTTATTGATATCTTAGGCATTGTTTAGTTCATTACTATACATATCTACAACCTTGATCAAAGTATAAATCCATATTAACAAAATTTTACAATGTACAACACTTGGTAAATTTTTCTTAATACTTATTGTATTTTGAAAGTACGATGTTGTAATAAGAACAAGTGAAGATTACCAAAGACTTATTTTCATCCTTATTTAGGCATTATAGTTTGATAAAAATCTTATTTTTAATGAAATGACCAATTTACCCCTGTCTTAATTCTACAAAGTTAAAACTCAAAATTTATAAATATTAATTTATTATATCATTATACAAGTTCATTTCTATTATGAATAACAAAAATTAAGTATTTTATATTCATTTTAAGTATTTAAATTGACTTGACTAGCAAACTTTGAAGAGGAATTACTTATTGGTCTAACTTATTTGTTATTATTTTTTTTTATGATTTTAATCGTCATATTTAAATAAAAATCCTCATCCATACATAATCGGCTTTCCACCATTTTTCTTGGACTGAAAGGAGTTTAGGGTCAAGATCATCCATATGAGAAGAACAATTGATCATATGTTACCATAACAGTGTGATTGTAGGATGCTATAAGACATAGATAAATGAAAGTACATTGATAAATCTTGTATTTATCCAAAAAAAAACACAGATTTATGTTTATGTTTGCTTGACCAATTGTAGGTCATAAATGAAGACTTGAATCCAATTCTCAACTTTGTTGTTAAGGAAGGTTTACATGATTAACTTATTGCTGAAGTATGCCACCATGACACACTTGAGAAGTAATGCACATTATATAGGAACAAAAAAAGCAAAAATGTAAATTTTTGTCCTTTATCCGAATAAATGATATAACATAGGGACTAAACCTGTAATTTACTACTATTTTTTGAAGGACTACATGGGTATCTACATTTTGAGAGTAACGAGAGTTATATTAGAAATGTAATATGAAGACAATATTCAAGTAGAGGGTGCCAGTTCATGAAAACTTATCTTAAATCTCAAATGGTTAGCCACACTAAATTGATAAAACTTAACATCCCTTAGTCGCTGTTTTTCTGGCTAATAAAGATCTTATCGGGAAATTCGTGCCAAGGGAAGGTGCATTTGGAGCTGTTATATTGGACATATGTTGTTATTAACCCATTTTGTTACAACTTTTCAACGATGTTTGTGGAAAAAGTTCTTAAATGTGATTCAGGGGTTGAAAATGGTGTTTTATTTTGTTTGTATTTTTCACTCTATTCAATTTTATATTGTATTGTACAAAATCATAATTTTATAAAATATCTACATATACATAATGTCGATTGGAAATTCAAACCAATGTGTTGTTGTAGTTTGAAGTAATCATTATATCATTGTAAACTTATAGAAAAAATATCTATCTTTATAAATTAATCAAATTTTTTTGTATTATTAGTCAATTATTATCTTATGATTTATTTATAATTTTTTTCATTTTTATCTGTGGTTTTCACGGGTTATAACCTAGTGAGTATGTATATAAAGGAGAAATCTGACATTATTTAAAATAAGGACCTAAAATGACCTCACATGGAGGGCACGTGATGACCCTAACGGCTCCAAACAAACGGACTAAGACGAAATGGACTAAAAACCCATGAAAACCTTGATTTTGGACTTTCGTTGCAAGCTGGAAACTTTTTGGACCTCATCCAAAGGTTTTTGCAAACCACAAGGATCATATTTGCAGTTTTGTCTTTTAGAAATCTCATTTTTGAAGTGTACTGAAAACCTCTTTTGAAAAATATTTTTAAAATTGTCAAACATTTGTTCATTATGTAGGGGGTGTTTGTGATTGTTTATTTAAAGAGTTTATCTTTTTATTGCAGTTTGGTATCGCTAATAAGTAGTTTTTAGTTTTTGGATAGACTAAAATTAAAAGTGTTTATTTGCTCAATTAAAGAGTTTTTGATAAGTTAGGAAGTGATTGAAATTTTATTTAAAAATAACTTATTGACTTTTTAAAAAGTCAATAAATTAAAAAAAGTGTTTGACAATGTAATAAGGACTTTTAAAATAACTTCTCATAAGCCTTTCAAAAAGTAGACCTTTCAAAAAAGAGATTCTAATAAGTTAGGATTTCTAACTTTCAAAACTCATTATAACTTTTTGGATTGTAAAAGTCAAATTCTCCATAAAACATGTATAAGGTAAGACAAACATTTTTAGCTTATTAACTTATTGATTTTCTCACCACAAAAACTAATTCAAACATTTAAAAAAAACTTATTTTCTCACAACCATAAATCAAAAAGTCATTTTTGCCTAAAAATCATTTTAAAGTTTAAAATGAAATCCCAATTACAACTTATGACTTATTTAAACCAATTTACCATATTAACCTTATTATAAATATATGTCTATATATATTTGGCCCTTAATGGTCATCTTACACCTATAAGCAGAATTTACCAATCACTAAAAAAAATAATTTGTCAATTTATTACGTTTTGATATCAGATAAGTTAATCTAAATATTTTTTTTAAACTTCATTTTGACACCGAAAAAACTAATAAACACTTTTATAAATAAAAATAAGTTGTTTTAAATAAACAATCCCAAACACCCCCTTATTGACTTTCCAAAAAGTTAACAAATTAGTTGTTTTGAAAAATAATCCTAAGGTCACTCGGTATTCTCTCTACCGCACACTGCGGTGGCTGATTTGGCGCCGCAGTGTGCGGTGCACACAACACCAACCCCAGCCTAAAACCTTACCGCGAGTGATGATCTTATCACACCATTTTTCTTTCTTTTTGACCGTTGGAGTGTTTGTATGTATGTGTGTAGTGTATGATAAAGTGTTTGACACCCATCGGTTTTGTTAAGTGAGGAAAAATGATGTGACGATGACGTGACAGTGTAATAATATGGTGAGTGTGGTATGACACCTTACGACCTAAACACCCCGGAAAATATAAATGAACAAGCGTTTTTATGTTATTTGCCGAAAAAATTATTATAAAACTAGAACTAACAGATTTTAGAAATTTTATTAGAACTAAAATCCAAATATAAAATAGACCGAGTTGGGTCGTGGGTGACCAGTGAGTTGTCTGGACTCCTGACTCCTGACCGAGTGGGAGTAGTGTATCTCATCATCCAAGATTCCAATCTCTCTCCGCTCTCTTCTGGATCAAGAAAAATGGATCATATGATAACCTAATTTTAGAACGTTTTGGGGGAAAATACGTGAAGAGTCGTCCATCTTTTTCTCAATTTCATTGCAAAGTTATGAAATTGACAACCATAGATCTGAAAATCCGAACTCAACGATATGAAATTTCTGAACTTCAAAGCCCTAACGCTCGCATTCGCATTCGCATTCAATCGATCTATTCAAATGTCGATTTGTGTTGATTGATTAGTGATCTTTATCATCAGATCGACGAAACTTCACAATCTCACATTAAAAACAACAATGTCGTCGAATTCGGACCACCAGACCCATCATGACCGTTCATTTGTTTCTAATCAGCAACATCAATCTACGGCTGTGATTGTTCCACCGCCGTGCTCTCATTTGGCGGAGTTCAAGGCTGATCGAGGGGCGGCGGCGTTTGGCAAGTTACTGGATTGCATTCAAGTGAGGCCGCTGGGACGCGCCTCTGTGAGGAGACAAGCTAATGAGGTCTTCCAGTGCGGCGCGTGTGGAAAATTGTCACTGCGGCTATACGCATGCGTGTCGTGTCCTTCTGTTGTTTGTGACATACACGCGCCGGATCACGAGCACGAGATCGCCATCGACGTGGATCGAGCGGAGCTGTTCTGTGGTTCGTGCGGGGACCAGGTATACGATCGCGATTTCGATTCAGCAATCGTCTTGTCGCAGACGGCGGCAGCGACACTAGGTGGATGTAACTCACTTTGCGCACCGCCACCGGAGAATCTAAGAAAGCGGCGGCGCGTGGATTATCGTCCTTGGACCCCTGATTCAAGAGAACGTGCTTTGTTAGGGAGCAACTCAACCTTGTTGCCGGGAAACGACGAAGATACATCTTCGAATTCGATCTTTCCTGTGGGATTAAAAGGGCTAAACAATCTTGGAAACACTTGTTTTATGAACTCTGTATTGCAGGCGTTGTTGCACACACCTCCACTGCGGAATTATTTCCTGAGCGATCGACACAACCGGTTCGTTTGTCAGCAGAAGAATGGAGCTCACGAACGAAAGAATAAAAATCCACAGAGGCTGTGTTTAGCCTGTGATACAGATGCGTTGTTTTCTGCTGTGTTTTCTGGTGATCGGAAACCCTATAGCCCTGCAAAGTTCTTATACAGGTCAGGATTAGAATTTGTTTTTCTCTTATTCTTCTTGATTGTATAAGTGCTTCAAAATGAAAAAAGGAAGATAAAAGAAATCTAATAGGAGGTTGTTACAATATAAAAATGGTTAGTCTATCTTGATGTGGGTCATATCTAATGTCTTTGTACCAAATATTGTAGCTGTCATAATCCATCTTTTAAAAAAAATAAGTTGCTGATTCCTGTTGGGCAATATTTAAGAATTTAAAAGAATAAATACCCTATTCAATATTCATCATCTGATTACTTTCAATTTTTTTTTTTTTTTTTTTTCATCAGTTGGTGGCAGCACGCAGGAAACCTGGCAAATTATGAAATGCAGGATGCTCATGAGTTCTTCATTTCCATGCTTGATGGGATCCATGAAAAGGTGGAGAAAGATGAGAAGAAGCCTCATAGTCAAGGTGAAGTCAATTCTTCTTCTTGTGTTGAATTTGCAACTATTTATGTGGGTCAGTCATATCAATTATTAGGTGTTTATAGTAGGAACACATACCGAAACAAACAGTTGTTAGAACCAATAGGAACACTTAGGGTTTTCTTGTGTCACATCTCTTAGTTTTTTTTTTTTTTT